TGGCTTACTTAATTGGCCCAGTAGTCCGTCGGTTTCATGTTTAATTCCAGAAAACGGATGCCATCTCCATGAGGTCTGGAATGTTGGTCACTCATATATGCAGACCTGAAGTGCGCAAAACTAATGGTGTGTCATATATCAGTGGAATATAGAACAAACAGCTAAAATGGGACGCTCAAATAGTCAGAGTGAGGTTGGCCGTACGATTCATGCACGGAAATTTTTTCCTCCTCTCTACGAAGGAAGTGGACCGACGTTGCATCTGCTTTTTATACAGTGTTGCATAATGCCACTACTGTCAAACGTGGTCTACATCTACTTCAACGGCCTCACGCACGAAAAAACGGCCGCAACAGAGAGTTTCGGTTGGGTTCCTATTTGAAGATCTGGTAAGACCTTCGTTGTACTGCTGCACTTTTGGAAAGATTACTGTTGTCCATGAGCATCAATTTTCTGCATACTACTCCAGTGTGCCACTAAGAGAAGCCATTTCAAGCCGGTTCAGTGTAGAACAGAGGATTTCGGTAATCCTCAGTTATTTTTCCACCTGATACGTAATTAATAGAGACAGAGAGACGTTAAACTGGTAGAAACCAACCTGCCCCTCACTTCGCATCGCCGACGAACGCTTCAGCCTAACTGCCCCGATGCTGTTTAAATCACACTTGTGCAAATCTTGTTTACACATACTTAATCCGGATGGCCGATAAGAAAAGGTATAAGTTTGTACTGACTCTTCCAGTCATAAGCCAACAATTCATCGTCATCATGTTTGATACTCGCCACTCGGCTCTGCCCAGTCTTAAATAAAGATGCGCCGATGCATTGTTATTTGTTATTACGCAACTTCGTCTATCATCGACCAATAACTAGTGATTTGTAGGTAAACACGGGCAATGGACATAAATCCTTTCGTTTGGAACATTAGAAGTGTCCAATGCCCTTGGCAAATCATGAAACTCAACGAGTTTCGTTAGCTAATCTGCCTCACATGCTAGAATCGCGTTAGCCGGCCTTCCAGCCTACCGTAATCTCCCCAAAGTTGCCCGCAAGGCTGGGTTGCTGCAGAGTGTTTTGTGCTGAGTAGAGCCAAGTTCTTTGACCGTTTCCATCGCCTTCATAATGTCAATGGGCGCATGAAATTCTAAAGTCAACGTGCCATGTGGCCAGTGCTTTTCCATCATGGAAACTTCAAATATTTTAAGTCAGCCATCGTGTGTCACGTGCCAAAGGTTTAAACTTTTTACCATTTTTCAAGTGTTGGTCGTCACTTACCGATCACGACAATGGTAAACTCCAGATTGACGCTGCCAAAACCGTTCACTGCCTGGCATCGGTAATGACCGGCGTCTTCAAGAGCGACGTTCTTGATTTTCAAGTCTCTGTCAGCGTTGACCTGTTTGAAACGAGTCCACGCAGGAGTGATTGGCTCGCCGTCCTTCGTCCACATGATCAGCGGTGGGGGGTTACCGTCGACCGGACAAGGCAAGCGCCAGCTCTTGCTGCCTTCCCTCACGATGTACTTCGTCTTTACACCATCGTCCACGACGGGAGGTGCTGAAAAGAGACAAGACCATGTTACAGTGGAGAAAGTAATCGCAAACCGCGAACTAAATCTGCACAGTGAACGTCGGTGGGCAGGATTCAGTCATAGCTTCCCTCACAACGTTGGTGTGAGTTCCAACTTCCCACTGAAGATCGATCGCTGTTTCCTCTCTATTTGTCTTCCATTCCACCTGAACATCGCAGATTTTTGAAAACCATTAATCGTCATTAGCCCTCTTGGCGTTGGTCGCCAAAGCGATGCATCACAACGGTCGTAAATCGTCATCGAACCTCAGTGACAGGCACCCGTCAGTCACCTGTGTCGCCAATCGCGCAGACAATTACTCACTGATTCAAGTATGAAATCGATCAACGGTGACCAATCAGTCGCTCAGCAACGCGACCACAAAAATGAAGACAGAGAAACGGACGGATGACGTACGTTCGATCGCGATTTATTTGCCTCATTCTGCGCCGAGGGCTCATGGAAAATTTTCAACGAACAGGGTTGAGGGAAAGGAGGAACGAAAATGCATACAGGAAAGAACCAAGAAAACAGAGCAAAACAGCTATCCGTCATCGCGCTCCGCCCACGTGTTATCAGTGATGATATAGTGTTTGACAAAAGACGAAATGGCCGGAAGCTGAGCCATAAATTTTAGGTGGGATCATGAATGAAGAATGGTGTTTACGCAGCTGCCACATCGTGCTTAAAAATGTCACTGCTTTAAACCGTTCAGGTGGTAGACGACGGCGGTGATTTACGACTGAGGCACAGCAACGAATCGATCGAGGACGATTTTCCAAGCACCTTACTTTGTCCCCTCCCTTAGGACTTCGTCGTCGTCGTAGCCGCGAAAACAAGCAGAGCCGTAGTCAGGTAAACAAGCTTTGTCTGTTCATAAAAAGTCCCTGATAGGAGAGAATTCAACAGTGGGCTTTTTCTTCGATAGACTTTTGGCCATATGTTCAAACCGTTAACAACAGTTGGTTGCCTACCCTACTTCTTACATCTCCGTACGTCTCTATCCATCACTCATCAGAAAAAATTTAAATTTAATAATGCTCCAAATCTTACACCGAATGGCACCACATAATATGACTTTCAATTCAGGTCATGGCAGTTTTAATACCAGGTGAATAATGATGAGGAAGATCAAGAATAAAATACTGCTGCCTTTGAAGTTTTACAGCAAACATTTTTCAGCTACCACAAAATTCTCTTGTACCTGAATTTCTGGCGCATTGTGTAAAGAATGAATCTGGTGATCACGCAAAGTCATTCTTCTTTCCAACAGTCCTTCGGTGTGCGTTGCAGACCTGTTCTGTAGTTCAAGTCATTCTTAAGAGTGGAGTGGGTTTACTCAGCGCCAAGAGTCCACGTAGAATTTGATGTGGGTGGTCAGCAGTTGCCTAGCAACTTTCTTCATCGAAACATTTCTCTGCAGCAGGTAAAGCTGGACCTGAAGTTGAGGCAACATTTCTTGAAGCCTCAGGTAAACAAATGAACTATATATGGGACATCCTGATGGAAGATGAGTAAAACTGAATGAAATGAGGAAAATTCATGGAACGCTGAGCATTGTAATTTCGATTGAGCAGCATCCCTCCATAAGGTACTTCTCTAGACCGACTTCTTATAATCACAAACGGGCATTGACTGTGATTAGCATAAGTTGAGGCATATGACAGAGACTCAGAAGATGTCAAGAATTCCACGATGCTTTTCTTTCAGAAAGAACGGTGAAGGACGTGTTATGAATATGCATCAATCTTCGGTGATTCAGTTCGTTTCCCGTGTCACTGTTCACGGTCCGCTTTAGTGCGTTCATAATCTAGTGGATTTCTACAACTGTAAAAAGACAAAATTGTTTGCAATTGGCTATCGATCAATAAAGTATAAAGCTATGATATAGCATATCTTCTATGAGGCGTTAAAGCGGTAATCAGAAGGTAATTTCATGCTCTTCTGCTGCGTCCATGTCGTTGAGTTCTTTACCGCCGTTGAACAACGATCCCTAACCAAGATCCCCGTGGTCAGCACAGTTCATTTGCATTTTCACAACTGTTAAATTGGATCTCCTGAGGGAGTTATAATTTGGCGATGTGAATCAACGCCTGTCGTGATAGCGCAGATCTACGAGCACTATGGAGGGTGATCGACCACGACGCGCTTTATGGTCGTCGCCTTTGACCGGTGGTCATTAATTTTAGAACCCAAATACCACTTCTTTATGTGGCGGAAAAAGCGTTGTGGTCAGGTGATGGCCCGGCGATAAGCAGTCTGATATGAGGTACAAAAACTGATCAATTAAACTTAACATTGGACAAAAATTTTACTCACCTCCTTTCGTCGTTGCCGAAACAACTGCTAGGGCGGCCAGGATGCTAACGTTCAGTGCGATGGCCAGTGAACGACTCATGCAGGACGCTAAAAATATACTTCTGTCATTTTCTATCATTCGACCGACCGACTTCAGCCAGCAACTCTGTCAATTAATGTCGTTAAATGCGCTTATTATTTTATCGATTGATCAGTGTGCTGACTGCGCAACAAAAGCACACAGCATACAGCACACACACGCTCACACACACACACACACACAGACACACAGTACAAGAGCCACGCGTTGTTGTCGTCATCGTTCAGAAGGAGGCACACAGTAAACGGGGGGGGGCAGACGGACAGACAGACCGACGGACAGAAATGCTTTTAACAGTGGGTGTATGCCACGACGGACAACGAAAGTCGACCACGGCCTTGACGACAACGACGACGACGATGACGATAGCGACAACGACGGCGGCGAGAAGGCGATTAGTGCATGCATAGCTTGAACTGACGAAGCGCATTTAAAATTAATCAGCACGAAATTCTCGTCAAATGTCATGCAAAAGCGTCGTGAGGTGCGTCGAGGTATGAAGGCAGTCGAAAAGGAGGGAAGGCAAACAAATACGTGACTAGACGGCTTTCGCACTGTCTTCGTCGACGTCGCGTAGGTTGTATGAGGCGATGGAAAAGCAAATGAATTGCCATCAAGCACTCCGTAGGTCAATACGTTATGAATCCTGTGCTCAGTCACATTGGTGGCAAATCACCTTTCATGGCAATGCCGGTCAACGATCACTGTGTTCGTTTCTTCAGATGGCCACTCCGAGATGACCATCACCATTAGTACCCTCGTCACCAGTGGTCAACTGTGGACGACGGTTTGCAGTGGACAGGGACCGAAACGCGGGGTAGTAAGGAGAAGAACCAGCCAATCAATCAGTAGATCGATGAATGGATAAATCGATCGATTTGTCACACAAGAGCCTTAACGACGCCGTTAATTTGATAATTTTATGTATCTATTAGTACCTGTATTCCATAAATCAACTTAGCTGCTCTCCAGTGCCAGCTAGCAACAATAAAACCAGTGACTCTCGGCACCGCCGACGCCGAACTATGATTTATGAACCAACCGACCAAAACCGCACAGCAGCCGCCTTGGCGATTGATTGGTAACGGCAGCCGCAGGCCTATCCACGCCTCGTCAGCGATCCGTCTGCTCATTGGTTGGTTTGGATGGCAGAAAGTTGGTAGGGCGGGGCGGGGCGGAGCGGTTAGAAAAGAATGCCAGTCGATCGATATTCCTGTCGGTTGGGTCAAGATACCGAGTCTGTATGCAGATAGGTGTTTGCTGGACCGACAGCTTATCGAATGGCCTAAGCCCACCGACAGCTGACCTGCGGTGTTGGCCAAAGACGGAACCAGCAACGGATATGTCCATATCTCATTACATACATCTGGCAGCTATCAGGCGGTGGCTGTTCAATTGCCATCCATTCCTCGCTTTTCGGCTTCTTATTCTTGAAACCGGAGGCGATACTCATTGGATAAAACACGAAGCGGTTGAGAGGCACTCACAGGAAGCCGCCAAGTCACCAGCCAACGGTGTCCGACGATGCCAATCACAATTCGAGATGTGAGGCGAAGCAAGGAGGACACGCAGGCAAGAGTTTCACAGAGCGTCGATGACGGCGGCAGAGGCTGAAGCGAACAAACGCTGAACGCCTCGCCTCATCTTCCTCTTTCTTCATCACTCGTCTTCTCCGCCGCAAGCCAACCGACCACCACTTCGCAATCAACACTCTCGAAACTTTGGCCAACGTCGTCGCTGATCAATCACCAGTGGAGATAACAGCAGCTGACAGGTCATTTTTCATCGGCCTTGACACAGCATGACCACAGTGCACCCAGTCATTTGTCAAAAACATTCGATTCGTGTATTTGCGTGCTGATCAGCTGGACCGTCAAGTGACATCAACAAGCAATGGTAGCCGTGGTTGTCAATCAACAAATACTATCGTTATTCAGTTCGTTGAGGAAACGGATAGCTCCCTTTTCTCCATGTAGATAGATGTGTTGTCTCATATAGTGCCGTAATCGATCAAATCTTTCCGCCACCTCTCGGTCGAGCATTCGTAACAAAATTCCTATCATCCCAGCTGTAAACTTATCTTCCCACTGGTGACACTGTGTCCATTAATATTTGCTCACGTTGTATAGCAGATAAGGAAAAATTGCCGTAGTTGTCAGCGTCCCCAATTAGGAAGGCGCAGTGTACAGTAATGAGTACGCTCGGTTGTTGAAGTGTCACAAGTCATGAATGGATCCGGCACTGATATAAGCATGCAACAATTGCGTCTCTCGTTCCTTCTCATACTTTTCTTCCAGCTCTATACCCGGATGTGCTGTTCGAAGATCATACAGTCAACTTTCAATTCTGTACATCATATAAGTTTTCTTCTACCTTGTATTAACGTTTCAGCCTCAGCCGCCAACCGAACTTTGATCATCATCAAATCATGTCAATCACTTCCTTTGAATCGACATACTGTAAATCGATCTACCTTTCCACAGCATAAAAACGTTGCAGATTTAAATGCCCAGTTTTCTACCACAGTATGTTGCAGCATATTCAGATGCCTGAATGTCCACTTTAATCAGTTTCGATACTCGCTAATCTGTTCTGGATGGCGTAGACAGCAGTTTCAGACGACGTCGGGTGTGTTCCGTTTCTGCGCCAGTGTCTGAGCCCCGACGGAAGAAAACCTGAGTCTGGACCACAGGCACATGCTTCCGGTCAGTCTTCACCTCCACAGGTTCTTCAGCCGGTCGAGTGAACAAATCATAGTTGTTTCACCTTACTTTCTTCCACGTCATCCGTCGTCAACCGAATTAGTTCTGAAAGTTTACTTTCTCACTGACATAATCTATGTAGCGGTTCAAGTCCATTGATTTCCTGACCCTTCTGTCTCAAAGTTGCACACTTGAACTGACATGAGCTAAATCTGTACGATTCGACGCAATACCAATTTTATGACTTTAAAGTTCATTCACCATTACTGTATCACGCAGCCTTCTCATTATCCACCAACCTCATTTTCACCTCATATTCATTTCATAGCAAAGAACTTCCTAATAAATTTCCAAAAGAAATTAAATTTTAAAATATTTGGAAGTTTTGTGTCTTTATTTTTCAACTCACTGCCAAACTGTAAATTGAGTCACGGTCAGATGAATCGTAGACAATGCCTGATTTTGACTTTCAGTTTCAGGATATTGCACAAACTCCTTTTTCACCTGTTTGTAATATACACTGCAGCAAGTCTCAGGTGCGACATGTACTAGAAGTTTTCCATTGTCATTTTAGTAAGTGAAAAAAAACTAACACGGTGCAATGAGTTTTAGACCTTTGCTCACGTTTTGCCCCCTGATTATGGGTGCCTTTATCTGATCCAAAACGTCGGCCTGCCTAAATAAAAAATTTGGTAGTCTCATCTTATGCTTTATTCATGATATTCAAATACCTTAGACTTCAGTTTCTAATTCAGCTTAATAATTTTTATGTTTAATCTGCTTTACACTGCTTGGCTTCGAAGAACCGGAACGGCCAAAAATTGGACAGTTGCGTCAAAACTGAGCATTCAAAAATTTACTAATTTCTTAACCCATTTGTATATCGATGCAGAGATATGAATTATGTTTTACTTATATTGGGAAACTTTTCTTGGCGTTTTCTATTCTCAATGTGGTTCAGGTTCTGTACTATAAAAAAGGGGTTTAAAAAATGTAGTCCATATTTCATAGCCTATTTAATTGACTGTTCATCATAATCTCATTAAATTGTCATGAAATACTGAATAAAGTTACTGTTGAATTTAACTGGTTATCTGCGTTAAGTCATTGTAGCACAGAAATAACCTTAACAGGCAAAAATAAAAAATAGTACCAAGTGCTTTTGACTAGTTCTGCCGGATTTTAAATGTAGTTTATAAAATGAACACAAAAATTAATTGAAAATTAGGAAATTAACCGCATAAATTATTTTTCTCATAACTTGCACATTCAGATATATGGACCGGAATTTGCTTGCAGGCTATGAATCACTGATTCATTGGGGTGGTGATGATGATGACAGCAGAACTCGGTATACAGTAATTCACCATAGGCAGTCGATAAAGGAGCAGCAAGTGAATGACCTGTGAGTAATCTGACATTATGATGCCCTGAAGTTGCCATGCCACAATTGATTATAAAACTTGCCATTTACCTGATTCCCATTGCAATTACTGTTACATTCTTTTCAAAAGGCAGAACGCGTCCTCAACATGAATGTCATCAAGCATGAATATAGCCAACAGCCGTCATTGTTTGGTTTAAATTTGCATCTGTCTCCAAGTGAAGAATTATGAAAATCTTTTTCTGAATTCATCATTCAAAGACAAGAGGAAGCTAGTCACCCAATATGCCTTTTGAACAGAGGATAATTAATTTGATTAAGCTACCTCCATCGTGGAAAACAGTTTGAAACTTCGTTTCTGTCCTGTTTTCATCAACGAATGTTGTGTTGATTCAAGGGTTCTATACCCAAGTGATCGAGGCACAAGTGGGTCACAGTGTTTGTTCCAACTGCTGACGATTTGGTCAAGTTTGAAAAATTCTTCTTGTCAGATGAACCTAAAAATCGAATTGGAAACTGAAGAACAGCGAATTTGCGAAAGCAGCATTCTTCGTATCGAATGGTCGATCTCTGAATTACTTTTCCAGTCACTATGACGCATGTCATGTCGGGTGATCCAAGCTGGAAACAACTTTCCGTTCCCATACTGTCAGTGACACTTTAAAATTGGTTTGGAAAGCGACAGACGTCACCAGTGACTAAATCTAACCCGGTTAAACTTGACAAGTCTAGTAGACGGCCGGACGATAAATGCTGGCTTCGCCCAGTTTCGCCGTGAGTCGGCACGTCGATCGGGCTGGGCAACTTTCGAGTCTAGAACTGAGGTCATTTTGATGCTGTGTAGAACGAGAGGGAAAACGAGGCAGTTTCTATGGTTACATGAAAGCGATGTCTATAACTATGGTCCGGCATTTCAATGTGGTTTTGTACCCATGAACCACAAACCGCCTTTTGACCCCTGATCATCCGTTGTTCGCGTGCTCACCATGCATGAAACGAGGTCGCCTGGTCTCACCAAAATTTGCCTTTTCATGAGACGATGTGCACTCAGACGGCGCCTCCGTCGAATGCCGTCTCGTTCTGAATTCCTTCCGCCTCTGGAAAACCAGTCCAATGGTCGAGTCCGGATTTCCACGTAATGCATCGACCCACATACCGTTGTTTCATGCTCGCCCGAAAAGTATAATCCGCGCTTCTCGATCGCATCGTTTCTAATTGGTCCTGTACAATGAAGATGAGTAAAGGACTGAAGAGTCCCTCTTTTGACCGAAACTACATTGAATCAATATCTGCTTGACTTTTCCACGTTCTTTCAACTTTTCCATCTGGCTCCGCAACCCCAAAGTGAGTTTCGAATCTCAACTTGTCAAAAATACGTAGATTATCAATCTTTAAATAAAAAAGAAATAAAGCAGTGTCTGAGAAACGCGGCGTAAACGGAACACTCTTATGCTCTGTTTTCTGGCCACCATTTTTCAGATGCCGACCATGAGGTACCGGTCCATATTACGAGT